ACCCTCCCTTCTTCCATCCCCCTTGTCATGTCCTGGACATGGACCATATGTATGTAGTGCGCATGCTCGCACGTGAGCTTGGTCTTTTTCGGATATGGAGTTTGAGATGTACTGAAATCTGTAATGGCCTCGAGTGTGTGTGTGATCGAGCTGGATGAGTCCGAGTAGAACCCACCTGGGGTAGGACACAATGTTGTAACTCGCTTTCTCTGCCTGCTCCCAGTCCCGTGCCATCTCCACACTTATACAAAGGGACGACGATAACTACATTCAGAAGACTGTTTATTGACACGACGAAGAAACACAACTAGACATGACGAACTCAAGACGAAGACATGATAAACTCAAGACGAAGACATCATGAACTCGAGACGAAGACTGCTTTTTACACCACAGCAACACGCGCATGCACCAACATGACGTACACACGACGTACACAAAATAACGTACTACAACAACAACAACTGGCGACGAAGATATGGCTCGGATATCATCGCTTCAGCCGTTTACCGGCGGCGACTTTGAAGAGTTTGAGGAAAGACTTGAATTCTATTTCTTTGCCAATGATATTGGAACCGTGGCTGCTTCGGCCAATGCTGCAGACAAGTTGGCTGCCAGCAAGAAAAGGAAGGCTGTATTAGTGAGTTTGCTGTCTGCGGAAGTCTACTCGATTTTGAGGAGCCTCTATCTGCCAGCGAAAGTAGCTGACAAGAAACTGTCGGAGATTTGCGATCTTTTGAGGAAGTATTTTCAACCTGCAATTTCGCAAGTTTCGGCGACGTTCAATTTCCATCAGTTGAAGCAGAAGGAAAGTGAGTCGACTGCGGATTTCATCATTCGTCTGAAGAGATTGGCTGTGAGGTGTGAGTTTGCTGATCACCTCGATCGAGCGCTTCGAGACCAGTTTATTGCTGGCTTGAGCAGCTCATCCACTCGGAATTTCTTATTGACGAAAGAAGATACTTCGGCACAGTCGTTCAATGACATCGTCAAACTAGCTTTGACGCAGGAATCGGCTGCGCGCGCGGCCGTGCAGCTGACCTCTCAGCAGGAAGTGCACAAGGTGAATCACCGGCCAGTGGAATCGCGTTCGCAGGCGCAGTCTGGTGTTTCTCATCAATCTCGAGAGCAGAGATTGTGCTACCGCTGTGGGTCTACTCAACACTTGGCGGATAAGTGCAAACACAAGGCCACTGAGTGTCGTCACTGCCACAGGAAGGGGCACTTGGAGTGTGTTTGTCGGCAGAAATCCACGTCAGGCGCGTCGGTATTCTAGTCTGTGGAGTTGAAATGATATATTTTGGACTCTGCTGGATAATAATAATAATAATAATGACAGTTCGCATTTCACTCATTGCATGAGGTCAACGCATCTGTTAACAATTTCGAGCCAAGCAGCTCTATCAGAAGCAGATTGCACAGCATCCAGAAGCGACAGATTAATGCATTGTAAGTCTTTCTTGACAACGTCGATCCATCTCAGACGTGGCCGTCCTCGGGGTCGTCGTATGTCTGTTGTGTTGATCGACATTAGGAGGGCTTGGAAAGAGGACGATTCTTCGCCTTCCCTCACTACATGGCCGAACCACAGCAGTCTCCGTTGCCTGCAGACTTGGGATAGTGGGGTCTGCTCGGTTCTGGCATACAGCGCTGTGTTCGAGATTCGTTGTGGGTACGTGATACCAATGATGGTACGTAGTTTCTTCCGGTGCCATACATTGACGACGTCGGTTAATGTTTGCGATAAGGTCCAAAGCGCACAATTATACAGCAAGACAGGCAATATCAGGCAGGAAAACATACACAGCCTGGAATTCAGGTTGTGGCGTTTCCATGGAATGCCTGCAAATGCCCGATTTGCAGCAGACACTCTAGCTGCTATGTCTTCTGCTGTGCCTAGCATACTCCCCAGCAGCTTCACCGATTTCCAGGAATCATCTTCCTTGGTCACAGTGAAATATTGAGTTTTTGCCACGTTCAGCTTCAGATTGTCATCCGAGAAAACGGGTTCACACACACGGACGGTTTCTTCCACAGATGATCGCTCGTTCTGATGGGCAGTGGTGTCGTCTGCGTATTGTGTGAAAGTTGCTGGTAGGTCTGACGCGGGTAGAGCTTGCTCTCGGATCCTACGCATGGAACCTTCGGCGTAAGTTATAAACATTATTGGTGACATTGGGTCACCCTGGACGACGCCGATGTTTGTTGGAAATGGTTTGCTTAGTTGTTTACCAAGCTTCGTGCGGGCTGTTGTGTTTGATACTAGGACTGCAGTGGTGGACGTTGGTGCGCCAGCAGTGGCTAACCTCTCCAGAGCAACCTGACGAATGACAGTGTCAAACGCACCGCTGAAGTCCAATAGTGCCGATGAATATGACCAGTCGCCAAGTAGTGCGCGCTCACACATCGTCCTGGCGTAAAAGACACCATCCGTGGTCGATCTGCCAGGGCGGAAACCAGCTTGGCTCTCTGCCACATATGACTGCACATGGAGTGTGTGTCGTCGAGTGAGTATTGACGTCAAGATCTTACGGACGACGGAAAGGAGCATAACGGGGCGGTAGCTTTTTGGATGTCCTAGAGGCTTGCCGGCTTTGTAGATGGGAACGATGAGGCCGCAGCGCATGTCGTCAGGACAGTACTCTGTAGCTTGAACAGCGTTGAAGAAATTCGTCAGCCAGGGTGCGAAAAGGTTTTTAGCTGACTTCAAAGCATCAGCACTGATACCATCAGGACCGACAGCACCACCAGACTTCTGCTTGATAATTGCAGACCGTACTTCTTCGATTGTGAATGGATCTTCCTCATTCGATTGCTGCCTGAGGTCGAGTGGCTGGCCATCAGTGTAAAATACCGATTCATAATATTCATTAAAGGCATTAAGATTCCATGAGATGTCTGCCATGATTCTGCCGTCTGCGTCAGCAAGACGCACAGGCGCAGCCTTCTTCCCAGAGCGTAGTTGGCGTAAGTTGTTGATGGCGTTGAAGTAGGACCGTGGGTCAGGGCGTAAAGCATCTACTTCAACAGCCTTACGTTGCCAATATTGCTCGCCCTCCTTCTGTAGTATCCTTCGAATCTCGTGGAGTTTTGCAGATCTTTCAATCTTTAAAGCTTTACGTTGCTCTGGATCAGGTTCAGCGTTTATGCGGCAGTGCAGATTCTTCTGTTCAGTGGATAAGGATGCAACGCGAGGGTTCGTGCTTGCTTTCGGAGCAGAACCAGTGGGCACTTTCCCGAATGCTTCCTGCGCTGCATCATGCGTAGCCCAGACGAATCCACGCCATGCCTTATCCACGGTGGCATTGTCGATGTTTGCGGAGAGTGGAAGCAGAGAAGGTAACTTCTCCTTGAGACGGTCGCAGAACAGTTTTGACGATTCAGCGGTTGGACGGTTATAGCGATTGAAACATGGGTCTTGTTGTTTGACGGTCGGATGGACTTTAGAAAGTGCGATGCCAAGAACTGCAATAACAGGGTGATGATCAGAGCGCGTGGTGAAGCCTCCAAACGATCTTGCATCTAGAACTGCGGCCATGGTGGAACGTTTTACTATCACGTAATCTATCATATTCCGCACAGGCTTTCCATCCGCATGCACTAAACCATCAGAAAACCATGTTGAGCGATGTTGCATCCTGTGCTTGAATAGTGTGTTGGTTAGCACCAGCCGGTTGTCCTCGCAAAATTCTACAAGTCTGCATCCATTTGAGTTTGATATAGTGTGTTTAGAGTAGCATCCAACAGGGCTGACAGATCCCGGCCTCGAACTCCCAACTTTAGCATTCAAATCTCCTAATATCCATAATTCGTCACGGTTCTTCGTTTTCAATACAACATTGTTGAGAAGTTCGTAGAAGTTGTCAGCTTCCTGAGGGTTGATGGTGGATCGTTGAAGAGTTGGGGCATAGCAGCACACGACCGTGACAGCTCGACTGTCAGGTCGCGGGCTGAGTACCATTCGTACAGATACAACTCGGTCAGAGTGGAACTGATACGACAGAACATTATTTGAAAATTTCTTGTTGACGAGGATGGCAACGCCAGCGCGAGACGATTGACCTCCGGACCTATACAGCTTGTGGCCATCGCCGAGGGTATCAACTCCATTGTCGGCTATCCAGGTCTCCGTAATCCCAAGGATGTCGAGCTTGTAGGCCTCGAAATCTTCGGCGAGAGTTTGTTTTTTGATTTTTGATTTTAGTGAACGGACGTTGAAAGTCGCAACTCTACATGACGGCGTACGACGACGCTTCTGGAATATTGACTCAACTGCTTCATTATGACCTCTTATCTAATCACTGCCAGTATGCGTGGCTCCAAATTGTCCTAGGGAACAGCTACTCCTGCCAAAAAGCAGGAGCTGACGGTAGTTCAAACCGCCATCCATGTAACTCTGCTGGATATACTCTGCTGGATATTGTATATAATTATATATTTATGGTGTATATATGGTGTATAGTGTATCATGAGATATTATGTCTCGGCAGTTGTGAGTTTTGAGACTGCATGTTGATATGTTTACTATTGCATAGTTCTAGATGCTTCGCCTCAACTAGTGAGGGGGAAATTGTCATGTCCTGGACATGGACCATATGTATGTAGTGCGCATGCTCGCACGTGAGCTTGGTCTTTTTCAGATATGGAGTTTGAGATGTACTGAAATCTGTAATGGCCTCGAGTGTGTGTGTGATCGAGCTGGATGAGTCCGAGTAGAACCCACCTGGGGTAGGACACAACACCCCTCCCCCTCCTTCCATCCCCTCCCCCTCCGTCCCTCCCTCTCCTTTCTCCTCACCGCGGTTGAAATTTAATAAATTTCAGTTTGTAGAGCCAGAGCCAGTGAAACCCGTTGTTCTAAGTCAACAGGACAGGCTCTAACCTCAATGATTACAATGGGCAAGTGGACTGGGGAATTCTTTTTTTCCTAGCAAATGCAGCCTTGCTATAGTGACACATGTTTGAGTCAAGCCAGCAAAGATGCCAGCATGTTGACTCACCTGTTGTGTGTAAGCTGAATATCTGCCAACCTCGGGTAGCTTCGGTGGTCGGGCTGTCCTGGCGGCGAGCTACAATGTATATGTAGAGCAGGTGAAAAAGCTACACCAATGAAATAGAACACACCCATTTTTTAAAGGGGAGGTACGCCCTGAAATTCAATTTTAATCAGTTGTAGTCTTCGGGGTGGTGAGTCGAATGGTCTTGTAATAGATACTTCTTCTATTTTAATTTTGTGACTCATGGCCAGGGTGAATGCCAGATTACGACACACTTTCATACTGGCCAACCCTCCCGTTTTTCCCGGGAAAATCCCGGAAAATCAACACTCCTCCGGGGTCCCGGGGATTTCAAGCAAACTCCCGGAAAAACCAAAGTTTTGTCTGATACAGGATTTTTCTGAAAACTCCATGGTTTCTCCCCGAATGTCCCGGTTTTTTGAACTTTTTTCAAAGGTATGTACGGTGCTCATTCGCACTTCGAACTGTGCACTAGTCATGGCCCAAATTTGCTCTGCCCACATCAATATTTTGCCGCACAATTTTGCCACAAACATTTCGATATTCTGCTTGGCATTTCCTTTCTCCGTCGATATTTTGCTTTGGTTTTGCTCGAGATAAAATGAGTTTCAAGGAAAAATCAACGATAATTGTCGCTGATGACGAGGCATTTTTGATCGAGCTCCTGCTGCTGCTCAACTTTCTACAAAAAATCTGGCCATGAGTCTGTTTTGTCCAATTTTTCCGCTTGTTTTCAACTTTGGTGACTGATTGTGTTGAGAAAGTCCCTGAGAAGCCTTGGGTTTTCTCAAAAGCCCACCAAGACTCGATATTTTGCTCAAAACTTGCCGGCAACTTGTGTTGTAACTCCCTTTTCTCTACCTGCTCCCAGTCCCGTGCCATCTCCACACTTGTACAAAGGGACGACGATAACTACATTTAGAAGACTATATTTGTGACAAGACGACGGAACCACAACTATACATGACGAACTGAAGACGAAGACATCATGAACTCAAGACGAAGACAGCTTTTCACACCACAGCAACACGCGCATGCACCAACATGACGTACACAAAATATCGTACTACAACATAACTCCCTCCCAAGAGTAGAATCGTCCTCGATTCTAATAATAAAACAGAGTAAAAAGAGGAAAAGATCACACAAATCACTCAATCATACCACACCAGTCACACCCAGAAATAATATACCTCTGCCTGCACTGCAGATTATTCAAAAAAACTCCAGTCTCTCCGGAGGCGTGGGTTCGAATCCCACCGCTGCCACCAATGTTGTAACTCCCTTTTCTCTACCTGCTCCCAGTCCCGTGCCATCTCCACACTTGTACAAAGGGACGACGATAACTACATTTAGAAGACTCATGGCCAGCAATCAAGGACATCTGAGAGTTGTAATTTTTGTACTCCTCCGAGGTGTGATTTTTGGCGTGCTGGGCCAAGCACAAGGAAACCATCTGCAAAAAAACTGCAGAAAATGGTTGTTGTTTGATCCTTTGGTGTAATCTTTGTTTCTAGTCGAAGCTAGTTGCTGTTTGGAGCAGAAACGCTGAAATTGACTATTTTCTGCATGTACTCATACATGTACTCATGTACTCAGGCATGCAGTCTCACTCGTATTTTAGCTATTTTTCTGGAATGGATGCTGCTCTGCGCCCCTTGGTGAACATTTCCTGCGCTCGTGGAGCAGCTGAAAAGGACCACTGGTATGTCTGGTTCCTGGTTTGAAAGTGGAGAGTCGACTTTTGTGCCTTGAAAAAGGAGTAGAGAGCGATAAAGGTACGTCTGTGGCTGATTTTTGAGTGCTCCTCGTACATTTTTGATCGTGATAGAAATTCTCAGACCAAAGTCAGACCAAAGTCAGCGCGATGATGGTCGTACAGTTTTCTTGTGAATTTTTTAGTTGTTTCATCTCGTATCTATGTCAGTATCGTGATGGTGAAGTGGAGAGGGTGATTTTCTTCCTCTAGGCTTCGTTCGGCCGACTTTGCTTCGTCCTCGTTGAAAAGTGATCCTGAAAAAAAGGTCGATTCGCAAAATTATGTTGATTTCAATGTACGAGATGACATGCGATTGCTGGCTATGTATATTTGTGACAAGACGACGGAACCACAACTATACATGACGAACTGAAGACGAAGACATCATGAACTCAAGACGAAGACGGCTTTTCACACCACAGCAACACGCGCATGCACCAACATGACGTACTCAAAATATCGTACTACAACACTTGCGCATCCGATATTTTGCTCAAAGAATTGCTAGCAAATTTGGGCTATGACTACTGTGCACAGCACTTTGAAGACCTGACCATGCAAGATATCTGCACTGACAAAGTGACAGGCGGGCGCCGACTGATCAAACTGAACTACAGCCTAGTACAGGGTCGATCTGTGCTGTACGCACAGCTGCAGAGTCGAACGTTTTTTTAGGCGGGAAAAGCTCTTTTTCACTTGTTTTTGTGCCATCCAGGGATTTTGATTTTGAGAGAAATCCAGGGATTCTGCATGTCTTGTCAAGGGATTGAGATTGTGGTGGTTGGTCAGTATGCACTTTATACTCTCTAATGCACAGAACATTGAAAAAGCGACTTTTTCTCAATTGCATGAAGCCTTAAAACAACAAACGTAAAGGGGATGGTTATGTTGGTGATGTTGGTCCCAAACCAGATGCTCCTGTGCTCTTTTATCACGGCAAGAGGGTGAATTGTTGCAGTTAATGATGCCTGGCAAAAACATCCCCTTGGAAACCCAGTGCAAAGGCAAGATAAATCTAAAATGTTATCACGTGGAAGCTACCTTCTTCTGCTGCTCCTCTGGATTCTCCTGCATGCCATATGTTCTTCTTCTCAGCTGATATGCCATGCCCCTCACCAGATGAAGCAATCCATAATTATTCATATTTTTTGCATGTTTCCCTCGAGTGGGTCTATTGTTATTAGGCAATTGTCTGTTATAGTCACCACTATAAATAAAAATCCAATCCAAAATCCAATCCAATCCAACTGTCTTCATCATCCTCTGCAATTCGCAATACACCCAAATAGAAACCGTTATCATCAAAGTGAGCCTATCTAATGTTATCACGTGTAAGCTACCTTCTTCCGCTGCTCCTCTGGATTCTTCCGCATGCCGTATGTTCTCCTTCTCAGCTGATATGACATGCCCCTCACCAGATGAAGCAATCCAACTGTCTTCATCATCCTCTGCAATTTGCAACACACCCAAATTGAAACCGTTGTCATCAAAGTGAGCATGGCTGGATGGGACGAACCTCGGAACAACAGACACATCTGGAGAAAGACGAACTCTGGCAAGACCTCTATGCTTAGTCTTCGGCAAGTCTGTATGCAATATCACCACGCGTACACCTTGCTAATTGGACCAACACTGTCCGTATTCCGTTTTTTAGTAGGGGTGAAACGATTACACTTTTTGACTACCGAATAACCGAAACCTTTATCGATCGGTCATCGGTTATTTTTCGATTATTTCTTCCACTGATAAAAGCAGTATTGGAAGCTGAAAAATGCGAAAATTTAAAATTTGAAAATTGATCCTGTGGAGAAGAAATATTTCTCGCACATGGCTGGTCGATCTACAGTCATACGTGTATAATCATGTATACTGTATGAATAGTCAAGTAATCGAAACTATTCGAATAATCGATTTGTTAGCTTGTAACAATTTCTATTTCGAGTATTCGGTATAATCGTTTCACCCCTAGTTTTTAGAGCTTTTGGAAAGTGCTACAGTTCAAACAGTGTGATTAGCTTGGCACACATACCGTAAAGTACCACTAGAGTGCCACCCTTTCATGGCCGTGTTTTGGAGGTGGGGTCGTGCTTTGGAGGCGGGGTTGTGTTTTGGAGGTGGGGCGTCGTATTTTTGGAGGCGGGGTCGTCGTTTTGGAAGCGGAGACGTCGTTTTTGGAGGCGGAGTCGTCGTTTTTGGAGGCGGGGCCGTCTTTTGGAGGCGGGGTCGTCATGTTTTGGAGGTGGGGTCGTCATTTTTGGAGGCGGGGTCGTCATGTCTTGGAGGCGGGGTCACCGTGTTTTGGTGGCGGGGTCATGCTTTGGAGGCGGGTCGTCGTTTTTTTGGAAGCCGGGTCATGTTTTGGAGGCGGGGTCGTTTTTGAGGCGGGGTCGTCATGTTTTGGAGGCGGGGCCGTGTTTTGGAGGTGGTGTCTTGTCATACGACAAGTATCTTGCACACACATTTCACGTTGTGCTGGCAATTAAGTGGTAATGTTTACATGTTGACTGTGTAGGCGCGGAAAGCTAGCCAGAAGTCCAGAACCCTTTTACGGCATTTGGAACAATGAGCACGTGCAAAGCAGTGCTAGCATGTTAATGTACTGCATTCGTAAACAAAAACACTTTGTGACTTCGATCGACCTGTCAGCCCTGGAGAATTGAGCTCTGCGGAATCGAGTGATAGCGACTCCGAGTGAGACTCAGCCCGATTTCTTTTGTATGACAGTTGACGTCCTTCACTGAAGTGTATCCAGTCGTTGTCTTGAAGTGTTTTTGTTCCACTGAGCTAAAATTTAATTTCCTTTCTTGAACACGGCAACTCATTAGAATAATAAAAAGTCACAAAGTTTTTGTTTCCGGATTAACTAAATTTCGCTAATCCATCTGATTCCACATAATTATATGTACCACACTTCCTTGGGACCATGCCCATGTGGGGAAGGAGGGGGGGGGGGGGGGGGGTAGAATAAGCAAGATTTCTGCATGTACAGTGTGTTGCAGATTGCGGGGTTCATATCATGGTGATACAAGCTACTTGTAGTATACTGACCTGGTAGATCAGCAGGGTCTACAGCACGCTTGTGGTATGTGTCATCACCATCACCATCATTAATAGATGGCACCCGCTCCCTGGATGGCAGAGCTGGTGTTAGACAGAAGATGAACAGATTCAATTAAAAGCAGAAGTCCGGCCAGAAGTGAAAGATATACGTATTCCTTGAGGAATGAGGGGTGATCTAGTGCAAGTGTTCAGCTACGACCGCAGATCACACACCAATCAAAAAGCAGAATTTCAACTCTCGCATTTAATTTCCGTCAAAACTTCTGAGTTTCAAAATACAGAACATCTCCCATATGTAAACAGACGGCGAGGAGACAGCAATAACTATTATTATTATTGTATTATTCAATCAAGAGGACAAGCTGAATCGACACGTGAATCCATATACTTCATTTGTTCAGCGTCACGCGGTGGAAACAATACGCAATAACAAAAAATGAAAGAAGGATGTCTGGATCATACACAGGAAGCGTGGGTCTCGAAGTCTGAGGGAAATGTTTGAACGGTCGCTGCTTGGATGACGACTACGCCATAGCTTAGTGAGCATCGCTGGCCATAAGCGAGAGTCCCTGGTTCGAGTTATGGTGATGACAGGTTTTTTTCTTCAGACTTTTCCCCTACACCTTTCCCTCAAACTAATGAAAGAAGGTACGCTTTCCAACGGCCAAAGAGAGTTGGAAAGCTTGTGTCTTTGTGGGTAAACTGAACATTTGGGCTCATGCAAAATCGCACCGATTTTGGGATTTCCCCACAACTTTTTGCGTCCGCAAAAATGTTGTGCTGGACCGCATTCCTGTCACTTCACAGTGGCTTTTCGTTGGTGCAGTTTGTACTTTGCCATTGCCGAGCCACCGTGCTCACAGCAGAGACTTCTGTGTGTGTGTTATTGTTGTGAAGTGGACCACAAAGACGGAGGAAATAGTGAAAAAGAACAATAGAGTCTTTCATCCTTCATTCACTTCCGTTATTGCACATTAGTGAGGTTTTGCATTCTGAATTTCGGTTCGGCGTTCTTCGCTCATTTGTCGACACCAGATGTCAAATTTTTTGAACGAACGTTTGTTTTGCAAGTCGAAGATCAACTTCCTGTCCCGTGTTCCTTTTCTTGCTGATTCTAACGAACCTTTGATCGCCCAAAGAGTCGAGGGCCAAATCTGCCTCCTCAGTTGCGTCAGAAGAACTAACTCCATGGCCAAGTCAAATTTTATGCATATCGCCTCGTCTTTTCAGCCACACCGATGATGGTGAGGACACTGCAGGCGAAAGAGAGTAGGCAGGCAGTGGATAGGAGCAATCAGAGGTATCTGACGATGCTGATGTCGCCAAAGACGCCTGCGAAGCGATGCCGAGATCAGAAACTTCTTTGAATAAATCACGCGCTAGCGCTCTTCTACAAGAAATTTCTTCCGAAAAATACTTTGGGCAAAGTGAGCCTTTTCCGAACAAACACGCCAAATCTTCGAGTGCATTTTCAACCTCGCTCCCGCGTGCCGAATCTTTTGCCAAATTTCGGAATGCAAAACCTCACTATTGTTTCCACTGCTTGACTCTGCACGGATAGAGTCACATGTCACCAATATGAGTAGGAAATCCTGTTGTTTTACTCTGATTATCATGTTTGGCAGCCAGCATGAAGGGCAGTGTGGAGGTGGAAAATGAAAATGCAGCCATGTAGATCTACATTGTACATGCACTGCAGTATCAACTACTAGTACCGGTACGTGGTCTTTGTAGTGGCTCTCCACTACTGCAAGTAGGGCCCGGTGTAATATGCCCGAAACTTGGCCGAAAATGCTTTGGGAAATTCTCGTAAACCTTGCCGAAAATGCTCCCAAACCTTGCCGAAAATACTCGGAAAATGCTCACTTTTTGTGATCCTCAGCACACGCCGTCAAAAGACTCAAAACCAGGGAGTCAGAAAATACCGGTATTTTACGACTCCCTGGTGAAAACCATTATTTTCAATTCATAAACTACTCAACAAGAATATAACCCACGGAATGCGGAAGTGACGTTCTCGTTTGGGAAGTTTTTCTTCTCTCAATTTTGATACACAACGGCCAAGTGCTCCGTTTCCCCCAAAATGCTGCATGTGACGAGCCCAAAGTGCTGGGTTCGCGGATTGTACCGAAAATGCTAAAAAAAATGCCGGCATATTACACGGGGGCCTAACTGCAAGTGCCCGCGGTCCGTCCTACTGCAATTGTTGTCTGCTGATGACCACGTCCACCATTGAGCTAGCGATCGTCTTCCTTCAACACAACCCAAGCCCGCGCTGCGGCGGCAGCAGCAGCTATTTCACCGAAAAGTGCAAGTAGTTCATTGTAATAGCAAGCCGACACAATGTCGCTAGACCTTCCGCTTTCTCTCTCGTTCCTGTTCTAGCCGCAAAGACCGCACACAGCACACCCAGGTGACAAAGTAACGAGGACGGCCAAGCCCTAGCTAGTCAAGGCCAGGAGAATTGTAAAATAATAATAAAGTAGTTGAAGATGATGAGCCCAGTCGACAATGCGTTGAATCTACAGTGCTAGTGTGACGGCACATCCGCTACACTTCACCCGATGTCCTAGAAACCGTAAACAAAAATCCGATGTACTGGTGTTCGCGAGCCGAAACAAGAAGATACCTCACAAGAAGCGCTGGGCTTGCGAGTTCAAATAAAATCCACCAAACAAGCCTTCTGCTCGGGCGCAATTCATTCTTTGCTATCGAAACATGGGGAATGGTCGAACAAATTCGAAATTCCCTGACAGGGGAGTGCAGAAGGAATCAGTGCCCCATAACCAGCATGGCAACAGGCAACGGCTTGCCAGAGGAGAAGAAGACCGGAAATGTCTTTCGAGGCGCGTTTGCACTGGCCCATCGTAGTCAGGAACTGCAACTTCGAAACAGAATTATACATTACGGTAGTTTCCAAGATGGCCAAAAAGCAAAGCCTTATGGCAGAAAACAGAAGAACATCACGGTCGTTACCGATTACATGCATGCAGTTTAGTTTCCACTTACCAGCGCTATAAGCCACTGCAATAGCCAGTACAAGGAACAAGAGAGGTCTTGAATTCGTCGAGGGGATGGACGCCATGGTGATTAGCCACAGCCACGGCCGGGCCCGGGGGTAGGGACGCCTTTGGCTTTGACAGAACTAGGTAGAGGAGACAATCAGCCTGGCGGCCCGGATATGGAGCAGCTGTCGACCGGTTGCGCTACCATGTAAACTGGGCCAAGGTGGTTGGAGCGGAGAGAAATGTAGCAAAGTTGAAGAAGACAAGCGCGGGAAATACTAGCAGCTGCTACTGTAGTACGGAAACATTCTGTGCATTTTCATGATACAGCAGCCATGCATGGCCGCCGATATGGAGACTGCACTGACTCACAGAGTTGACCAATCTGTTTACAGTCTGCGCTGCGTATGCCGCATATGCGGCGCATGACATGACGCAATGTTGTCCTTGTTGTATTACTTGTGGGAATATGGCATAAATAGCCATATACGCGTAGGTGCAACATTGTACAAGTAAAATTTTTTATTGCTTTCGAAGCATCGCTGTTTGGAACGGTGTCGCGTTCGCAGTAGCAGCTATTGCTAGCCTACAATTTTAGTGCATGCTACTTATCAGAGTGACAACAACCGGAATCCTGCTCAGTAAGGTATGTAGACTAGAGCAGACGTGGCCAATAAAATTGCGGTGCCCAAAAGTCGGAACGAGATTTTTCTAGGAGGCCTTTTTTCAGGTTTGGCCCACGGACTAACTAGTAACTGATTACTCGCATGATCGCCCCACTCGATGCCAAAAGCAGAATGTTCGTGAGGGTCGTGTCCATGGCGCCAGTTGGAGAGGCGCCATCTTCTTTGCCTTCAAAACCGCGTCCAAAATCTTGTTGGATCTCGTGAAGATGGGACCGCGGCTTCACATTTTTTTTACAAAATAGCCACAAACCATCATGGTGCAAACACCGGCAAAAACGCACAGGGATACACATAGGGATGGCAGCCGAAGCAGTGGAGGCGGGGCAAGACTCAAGAGTAGCTCAACCTGCGACCATAGGCCGGTCTCGGTTTCAGCACTGCTCATGCGCGCCAAACAGAAAAAAACATTGCAAGTGGCAATGCATTCCGGACCCAGACCGTTGCATTCCAGACTTACGCTGCACGTGCAAGAAAAGGGTTTCCGTCCAGTATTCCTGATCCTGGCGGCCTTTCTGTTTCCTCACATCAGCGTAATCACTGTCAAGTAACAGTTCGTTGAGGCAAGACCTACGACCTGATCAGATGTTTCTTTGCGAAACAGAAAAAGCACAACGTTTCTCACGTAAAAGCGCAGTAAAGACGTGGTGCTCTTTGGAGCGGCGTCATCAAGCAACTAATTCCTTTCCCGTTTCTCTCCCCTCGTTCGTGTGGTTCCGAAGTCTAGTGAGCGCCGGCAGGGAAACAATTATTTAGTTGAATTCCCCGTGCCGGAAGGCGGGCTCACCACCGCTGTTTGGCAACTTCCCCCATGTCTAACCCCCAGGCCAAGACGAAGTGAATAGTACTGCATGTAGCAGTCATACTGGCCGAAGATTTAAAAACAAGTTTTTTTTTCTTTTCTAACATTTGTGGTTGATTGCAAAGTGCGTAATAGTATGTTGCCCATCAGACGAGCCCAAGTCATCATTGTTTAAACAGCTGGGGTGGCCAAGTCTATCCTGGCGCAGGAAGATCGCCTGCCTTATGGAATTCTTCCATTTGGTCACCACCCAACCAGAACTTTTTGAAGCAGCGGGATACTGCCCCACGCGTAGTCGCCGCCGCCAACTCGCATTCACTCTGCCACGGGTTGGGAAACACGCCGGGAGGTCATTTCTCTTCCGCACCGCTACTGTCTGGAATGCCTTGCCCGCAGACCTGAGAGCCACAGCCTCGCAGTCCCTGTTTCACAGTCACATTTGCACGCACTTCTCTGACACCAAACACAATGCCACTCCGCACTGACATGCCTCTGTCCTCCTTCTTTGTGCGTTGCGCTTATTCTTATTAATTTTTGTGTTTCTGTTTCGGTACATTTCGTATTTCAAGGCATACCCCGAGGCTATAGGTATCATTGATTAAAGGACCATTCTGGAACATTCAGCATAATTACCAACTACAACTTTATTCAGCTCAGAGCCACGGTAAAAAGGATTCGAGCCGAATCGAGGAGTACGAGTTCTCGTATCAGGTTCTCCAAGGCCCTCACCCATGACTGTTCAAAAAACTAAGTGCACGACACCTGGGACATAGCGACTACTAACGCAAGTGCTACAGTAGTATGGCATGGTGCGGTGATTATGAGGATGGATTCATGAATTCAATCAAAAACAAACACTGAAGCAGGATCGTGGCATTTCCCTCACACCTACAAGGTCGTTATTCGAAAAAGCGCCGAATGGACCAATCACAAAATCATCTCGATCAAAACAAATCACAGCCCGGAGCCGCAGATGCCCCGGACCGCAGCCGCAAACTTAAAAGTTGTGACTCAGTCTTGCTCCACCTGCTGAGAGGCTATTTACTATTGTAGCATTGTATGTGATGGACTTCTTTGTAGCTGGGCCTTTCCTGGGCCTGGGGTGTCATCGTGTGGAGGGTCAGGCTCCTGCTTGAAGCCAGTGCTTACACTTGTACTTGTACTACCAAGAGGCAAGAGTGGCAAGACTGGCAAGACTGGCAAGACTGGCAAGACTGGCAAGGCTGGCAAGACTGGCAAGACTGGCAAGACTGGCAAGACTGGCAAGACTGGCAAGACTGGCAAGACTGGCAAGACTGGCAAGACTGGCAAGACTGGCAAGACTGGCAAGACTGGCAAGACTGGCAAGACTGGCAAGACTGGCAAGACTGGCAAGACTGGCAAGACTGGCAAGACTGGCAAGACTGGCAAGACTGGCAAGACTGGCAAGACTGGCAAGACTGGCAAGACTGGCAAGACTGGCAAGACTGGCAAGACTGGCAAGACTGGCAAGACTGGCAAGACTGGCAAGACTGGCAAGACTGGCAAGACTGGCAAGACTGGCAAGACTGGCAAGACTGGCAAGACTGGCAAGACTGGCAAGACTGGCAAGACTGGCAAGACTGGCAAGGCTGGCAAGACTGGCAAGACTGGCAAGACTGGCAAGACTGGCAAGACTGGCAAGACTGGCAAGACTGGCAAGACTGGCAAGACTGGCAAGACTGGCAAGACTGGCAAGACTGGCAAGACTGGCAAGACTGGCAAGACTGGCAAGACTGGCAAGACTGGCAAGACTGGCAAGACTGGCAAGACTGGCAAGACTGGCAAGACTGGCAAGACTGGCAAGACTGGCAAGACTGGCAAGACTGGCAAGACTGGCAAGACTGGCAAGACTGGCAAGACTGGCAAGACTGGCAAGACTGGCAAGAGCAATATTGTATTTTAAAGCTTGGTAGTACATGTACAGTGAGTTGTAGTCTTGTACTCGCTGCCAAAACTGGTCACGTGGGTCTCCCCTGGAGAGGGGCCGGGGAGAGAGACTTGAAGCCAGACAGGCAGGCAGGCAGGCAGGCAGAAGGACACCACGAAAAGTGAGGAAGAGATAGAGGAAGGTGTCACGCTTTAGGACGGTGCCTTTTCCACACATACTCCTTACTGGCAGGGTGATGGGGGTGGACCTGGTGGTGTGCCCCTTGTATACTGTGCCGACCTTACCCTGAATGTCTCCATATCACCATAGCCACAGGACCCACCAAAATACAAGTAAAGAATGGTGAGAAAAATACAGAGAGAACAAAGTAGCAGAGAAGAGATTAGGGAGGCAAACGTTTAGATACAAGATTAGTACACAACGAAGTGGGGAGCATCATGCACAATGAATTGCATTGGTACTCGTACGTATCAGGCCAGGAAGTCAAGGACAGGTGAGTTCCGGCATTACCTCACTCACTGATCCTTATGCACAGATATACAGCATTCCCTCACTAGTGGGACCATTGTTATTTGGCCAGGGCCTGTTTTGGACTTCCCACTCTGAATAAAGAATACAAACAAACAACAAACAAACCTCAGAGGATGTCTGTGGCTAACACCAATCTCTATGTGAGAGAGATAACGATGACGATGAGCATCGACTGTTTGATAGCTTACGCGTCGTATACACGTAGGCGACAAGCTAGTACATGTTGCGTGATGTTCCCTGCGTGAAGCTCTTGCTACCTGTTTCAAATGGCTACTGTGGCAATAGGAAATTACCTAAAGAAGCGTTGGCGGACATGGACAGGGTTGACAGCTGAAAGCAGTATTGATCATTGCCGTCTACACCTGCATGTACATGACCCTGGAAGGAGAAAGTGGAAACCAGGAGGCCGAAACGGTGTGTGCGTGTGCGCGAGCGTGTGTGTGTGTGTATTATATATACTCAAATCTGTGGACATATATATATTATGTGTGTGTGTGTGTGTGTGTGTGTGTGTGTGTGTGTATGTGTGTGTGTGTGTGTGTGTGTGTGTGTGTGTATGTGTGTGTGTGTGTGTGTGTGTGTGTGTGTGTGTGTGTGTGTGTGTGTGTGTGTGTGTGTGTGTGTGTGTGTGTGTGTGTGTGTGTGTGTGTGTGTGTGTGTGTGTGTGTGTGCGTGTGTGTGCAGGCGGATACATGTATGCGTTAGCTTGTAGGCACATGCAACTAACTACTTACTTGCACGATTCTGCTCCGAAGACCAACACTGCTTGTGCTTGAGCCAGATGGCTGCGTGATAAGATCAACCATGCAGTTAGACTTGGCCAGATACAGGCACATGTGCACGTACTACATGATTGTATTACGCTTCGCAAGAACTCGGTTTCCAGCAATCTACAAATAAGTCCGTTGAAGTTAGTTCCGGTACAATAGAAGTAGATGCTTGGATACTCCGCTACGTTTACTCCTGGTCGCATTTTACGAGCAGGGAAACTTCAGCGAGATTGTGCGAAATTCCATTCCTGCATCCTTACTGGACGCTCAGTCTGGTTTGAGCTTTGTAGGAGGGGAAGCTCGATGACGTACGAGACCCATGCACGCACACATGGATATACAATTTCCTGTGGCAGTTTCACCATGTTGTCGTTTGAGCCACGTGACTTGTCAGTCACATGGACATGTGGCTAGCTAGGCCGTCGGGCCAGAATATGTTGCGAACCTTACTCGAGCACAATTGTATCCGAGGGGAAACCACTGAGTTGATGCTGTTTGAAGGTGCCAGTATTCTATCGATCAGATTAGAATGATGGCCTGTGGAATCGTGTACTGACACTGCGCAGACTGGC